TGGATGGAACAATAAGATCAGTATCATATTATATATTGTTTGACTATGAATCTAAATCACGTATTATGATAAGTTAATAGCACGATCAATTTTCCAAATCCAACATTTTATACTCTGAAAAAAGAATTGTAGATAAGTGTAGCAAGAGTTTATATCTCATTTCTGACTCAAACTTTAGTAGTGGTGGGTAGTGGATGCAAAAGTTTAGATTTCTCAAATCCATGTTCATGTGGTGTAGACATAAAGATTACAAGGAGTATGATATGTTTGAACTGGAAATAATTTCAGGAAATGCGATTTGACTCTCTACTGTTTTCACAGTAGATGAAAAAACTAAAAAACTTTATCTCAGTAATCAGAATGTGATCCAGGCTCCACCACAAGTTCTTTGAATGCATAATTGGCAGCTATGTAATTGTGCAGTACTTGACATTTTCCCACCGTAGAGAAGCCCGATTATTTCGGGAGAGAAGACAAAGTCACATAGTTGAAGGAGCATTGGAACATGAAGAGAAAATCATTTGGTTTCCTTAAAGCACAATGCCCCCTATTTCTAGGACATAGTCATATCCCTACCCACTTTCCATCATAGTTTGTTAATTACACTTAGTACTGCTCTAATATGATCCATATGTTAGCTCAATTCGCGATTAAGAGTGACATAATAAATTAGGATTAGGATATGTTCGGAATTCAACTTCCTCATATTTAACCCAAATAAAAGTTCCTCATATTTGGACTTAAGAAACACTTATGTGAGGTTGTTCTTGCCACGTGACAGTATTGAGTTGCACAATAATTCTGCTAAAAAATCGCATGTGTAAGGTAACGATTGCCCAGTAATACAAATGCATATAAAGCAAGCATATAGACCAAGTGGGTTTTGAGTTTATAGTGTGAGCAATTATTTTGAAAACCAAAAGAATGAAGTAGGGAAGTCTTGTCCTGTGATGCAGAGTTCAATCATCTTTATCAGCATCATCCTGTTTTCTCAAAACTACGGCCAGGGCCACAGTGGTCCCTGCAGTCGGCAATTTGCCCAAATATTTGTGCTAAGCAAAATGTAGAAAGAGAGGGAAGAGTTTGAAACCAGTTAATAAGAAAAAGAGAGAACATTTTCAATGAAACAGTTCAAGTTTTATATATAATTTTTTTTTTAAACAAAGCCCTTTTGGTCTTCAACTCTTGCATTTTTTTGGGGTCAATGGTCATAGATATATAATTGGTCAGGTGCTTTTGGGTTTTGGGATTCGAATTCCATACTCAATTGCCTTACTTAACAGTGATGGCTTCTCACATGCACCTTTTACTTTGGCAACAGAAGTTACTGTGCGCAAAAAATTATGCTGGTAATGGTGAGTTCATTGGCTCAACAACAATATTAATCCTCATATTTACCAAAATGATGGGACTAGCAACTAGCAAACTAAGCAAAAACAACCACATGCTTAAGAATGATCAAAGCTTACCCACACTTATGCTGGTCATGTTCAAGTTGGGGTAATTATGCTACACTTTGGTTTGTTTCTTTCTTTCCTTTTTTCGTTTCTTGATTCGGGGAAGAAAAATATAAGAATCGAACTAAGTGAAAGGATAAGTGTTTTATCACTGAAGTTATAAATACTTTTTTTCCTTCTTTTTTTTCAAGTTAACAATTTAATTGGCGTCTACGGATGGATTGCTTTTTTCAGCCACACAAGTCAAAATGGGATACTTCAAATAGAAAAAATAATAATAAAATTCTTCATCTTTTTCTAGATAAATGACACAGTCTACAGAATTGTTTACAAAATGACATAAACACTGGGGTCCATAGACCAGTATAGCGTGCGAAGACCAAACTATGCATCTGTTCTGTTATGAATAAATAAATAAATTTCTTCAGTGGGAAAGTACAGACTAAAGAAATTGACAGAGATTTGTTAAATTAATTAATTTTATTTTTACATACTTAATTTGTCTAATTAATTAATTTTATTTTTTAATCTCCCACCCATCATTCTGCTTTGTCCCATCTTGCTAATTTCCATGGATTCAGCACAATTTTCTTCGCATGCAATTATTTTCTTGTAAGCTTCCCCCATTTCTTACCTAGTCATGCAATATGAAAATGGTTTTTGAGTGGGGGGTAACATGAAGATGAAGCTCAATTCAATTCAAGCATGCATAAGAGCAATTTAAAGAGACGCCACAGGCAACAATTAATAATAATGGACTTTGAAGAAGAAGAAGTAAAACTTGCTCACAATTGGAGGGGAAGTTTCAGTCCACTCACCACCACTTCCCCTGGCTATGTGGCATTATCTTTTCTAGTTCATTACCACTTTTGATTTTCCAAAGTCTTGTCATTTGTTGATTGCTTCAAATGAATTATGAGACATTAAATCATATGATGCTTGGTTTATTTTCAAAGTCTTGCGCATAAGAAGGCTTGATGATTTTGGTTCATGTGCCTTTTTAAACAAATCTTAAGAGCACTTTAGAACGTCAACGGATTCTAATTCAATTGAAAAGAGCACTAACTTGTAGATCAGTATTCTCACGTTCGAACTCCCATGACGCATTGGTAGTGTGTGTGTGTGTGTGTGTGAAACTCCCCTCTCCTTATAGTTTATACTATCATTTGTATTTTTTTTATTTTTCTCTTCTTCTTGTTTCTCGAATTGATAGTCATTGGATTCCCATTGCTCCAATAATAATAGTAAATTCCCATTAATTCGAAGGAAGCTAGTGGCTGCTTTTAAAGAGAACATCAATTTTCTAAAAGTCTTGTGCCTTTGTGTTGGATGTAAATAGCTAAGGTTATCATAAGGCTTTGTATCCACCAACTAAAGAAGTGAGTAGTAGAAGTTTTTCTGGTTAGCCGTCACCAAAGAGATCAATAGAAGAATTTTGTTCGCCATCTTCGCCTATGGTGTAACATCATCATTCTATTGAAAAAATTTACATTTATGTACGTAAACATGACAATTTTAAGTGAAGTGGTAATGCTACATCATGGCAAAAAATGGTGAACAAAAATATTCTAAAAGCCTTTTTAAAAGCCTTTAAAAAAAGGCTAATGGAGACAAAGTAAGTATTTCCTATAGCTAAGTTGAGCTAAAATGCGCGCATAAAAAATTCAAATGTGTGCAGTGAATATTATATCCCTTCTCTTAGGCTTCAAGTCAAAGATTACGAACTACAAAGTTTATAGAATCATTGTGCTCACAAATTTTTGTCTTTGATTGCAATTCAAACAGACACTGTAAAAAGCCTGAAACTTAATGAACGTATATTATGTATTTATAACATATAATATAGAAGCTACAAATCAATCAAACAATAGGGCAAGAACACATGTGAACCCACTCATATCAAAATCTGACGTGAAACCATGATTGCCCTCAACTTCATTAGAGCCATTAAAGAGAATGAGAAGCACCCAAAATGAATGGATGTCGACACTGGATTCGACTGCCCCTATCTATGATCCCAAATTCATTAAAAAAGTCAGACCTAATTTGCTTTCCTTTTCTCGGAGTTTACAAAAATGGGCTCCATCCGAAATTAATTGATCAAAAAATTAGGTCATATTAAGTTGTTGAAATAAACTGGAAAAAAAGAAAAAAAAAAAGTTGTTGAAATAAACAGTAAACGGGAGTGGCATGAGGTTTGCATACTTTTCGAATTTCTTTATTTTTATCTTGGCCAAGGCCTGTTTCCAATTAACATAGGCTATATCCAATGGGCCACCAGATGATATTTGTTTGCAATGAAGAGCCTGGCCAAGGGTCCATAATTTGGTGTTTTGCCTGAGCATCTAATCCTGCTGCTCATGCCTATAATGTGCCACTATTTTCTGTAGTTTTAAACTCCGGGCCCCAATCAGCTAACCCTTGGGTTTAACTTCCACAACTTAATGCTGGTATGTTTGCAGATTTGAATGTCTGTGTGTACTTGTGCCGCCACATTCTGAGCCACTCAAGTCCCATCTTTGCTTCCCTTGGCTTTGCCTTGCTTCCAATTTGATGGTTTACAGAGCACCTCCACCTTGACATGGTTCAAGGCTGCATGCCTTGCCCATCTCTAAGGTCTTAAGTGTTAGATATAAATTAGTTTTGCTTTCAATCATAAAACTGCAGTCAACAGTTCCAAAGCTCAAATGGTTGAGAGAAATTACCCTTGCAAAAGTTATATGTTCAAATCCCATCTACCCTACCATCGCTTGTAACCTAAAAAAAATATATTCAAACTTTAAAAGGCACTGCATTGCTCTCTAATTTGCATGTTAATAGCTATTAAACCTAATTGCGTTTTCAATACTCTTTTTCTTTTTATCTGGTTTTACAGGGGAGAATAGAGGAAGAGGAGAATTTGAACTCTGGCTTTGAATGCGAGATATTCAATCAGCTTAAGGGTGACCTGGCTGTACATTTCTCCTGCAATTCATTACAGAATCAAGATATCCTTCAATGACATATAAAGGGAAGCCGGACTATGTAATTAAAGAGAACACAAACGATGTACCGAATCTATAAACTGTTAAAATAAGTCGAGCACAAATCAGTTCCTTAACTGGCCCAGCCACTCGGAATATAAATTTGAAAACAAAACATTCTTCTCTGCTCTTGGCCATCTATAGGCAAATGTCAAAAACCATCACTACCACCACTCGCGAATCCAACTGTGGCGCAAGGCAGCATGATCTTGGAGTTCTTCACAAACAGCAATGGGAAAGGGCTATATCCTACCATGAAGATCAGCATATATTAGGATAATAATACACACCCAAAAAAAGGGAACCAAATAAAAGCTCATACTCATGCTTCGTACAAGTAATAGATTATCAATGCATCAGAACATGCACTTTCTAATCCAGAAATTAATCGCAGGATGTATCTGATTATGATGCATGTCCAATAAAATTTTATAGAACTGATGCAGTAATCAAATATGACAATAGGTCAAAAGCTATACATCAACGCTTCTGTTGGCCAATGACTCGCAAAGTTTTACATTCAAAATTGACGCCTTGGCCTAGGTTCTGCCGCGGTTACTCGGATAGATCTTCCATTCAAGTCCTGCAAAAACCAAAATTTAGAAACACAAAATAATAGATGTAACTGGAACAAAATATGGAAAGAAAAAAGAAAATTGTTAAGAAAACGTAACGATATACTTACAACTCCATCCAACGATTCAATGGCACTGTTCATTTCATCAGCAGTACCATAAGTTACAAAACCAAAACCCCTTGATCGGCCACTGTCCCTGTCATAAACTACCTTGGCTTCCAAAACCTTTCCTTGCTCACTAAACAAGTTCTCAAGTGCTAGATTGTCAACACCCCATGCAAGGTTACCCACATAAAGGCGGTTGGAGGAGTCAGAACCTCCACCACCTCTGGCACCTCTAAAAGAGTCTTCAGACCTAGGAGGAGGAGGTCCATAGTTTACCCTCAATGCCCTTCCGTCAAGTTCCTGCCAAATGTCACAAAGTCTTGCTTAGATACAATAAACAGGTTTCTCGTGGATAATATGCAAGCACATGATGCGAAGACTCAGAACAATCCATAGGGAAAATAAGCAATCACTACCTTGAAAAATCACATTAAGAAAGGAAAGACAAAGCCAATCTTTCCTGAATGCAACAAAATCTTGACAAGTTACATCAATCTACCTTTCTCAAACCAATTGGTATTTTTGGATGTATAAAAAAGTTCTCTCATTAACTCAATCAATTAGGTTGGTTTTAAGAAAATGTCATGAAAGTCTAGCTCATATAGTTATATACAATAAACAGGGTTCTCAACTTCTCATGGTGAAATGTAACCAAATGACTTCAAGACTCAGAGCAATCAATAGGTTAACAAGCAATCAACACAGCAACAAAAATGCACCTTAAGAAAAGCCAGATATTAAGCTCCAACACTCATTCTTTTAGCAAAACATATATTGACCAATTCAACAAATGAGTGTTTAAAAGACTACGGATGAAATAAGATTTCAGCAAAATCCTCACATTTTTGCTTCTATATCAACAAATGGTTAAACATAATATGATACTTACATAACCATTGAGCTGTCGAGCAGCTCCTTCAGCTTCCTGGACACTAGACATAGTCACAAACCCAAATCCTCTGCTTCTTCCAGTTGTCTTGTCATATATCACCTGCCAGGAACTTACACTTAAGTACGACAAAATTCCCACACAACTTTAAACCCGCGAAAACCCATTTCATTTTTCAGGCAAATCTTACATAAAAGACACAAACTTTAGACGAAAAACAAAATATTACCTCAACCATCTCGACATTTCCAGCACTCTCGAAGAGCCCAGCGAGCTGAGCACTGTCAACGCTGAAGGGAAGGTTTCCGACGAAGAGCTTGAGGTCAGGCGCGAAACTGGCCTCCCCATCGTCACTGAGAACCTCCTCATCCTGCTCGAACTCGGACGAAACGGCGACGTTTCGCACGAACCGAGACGACGCGCTCTGAAACCTTCTCGAGTTGAGAAATGAAGCCGAAATTGAAATGGGCTTACAGCCGAGCGTTAGAGATGAGGAAGAGACAGAATAGAACGGGACTGAAGTGGGTTTGGGAGTGTAAAGGGCTAGTGTTTTGGGGGAAAGAGAAGGAAGAGCTAGCGAAGCCGTGGAGGCAGTCATGGTGGCTTTTGCTTTGATTTTCTTTGCCTCTTTAACAGATAAGGTTACAGAGAAGAGGAGGCTTGAGGATTTTGGAGACCCAGGGTTTATGAAGAAGTTGTGGATATTTTGAGTGACAGAAATGCCCCTGGTTTTGGTTGAAACTACAGATAATGATCTGCTGCAGTGAGGATCACGAAGCTCTTATGGTATGTATATGGCCCAGTTGCCCACTTGTTATCAGATCACAACCGTCCATTTGCAATTGCAGTTGCCAGCTATTGATGCAGATGTGAGATATTAGATTGGGAGGACACAGTTGAAGACAAAAGCAGCCTAAGATATTTTGTGTGCATTGCCAATTGGGCATTTTGGATTTGGATCTGGTTCTTATTTGAAATCCAAGATGGGCTCAATCCATTTTGCATGGATGGGCTTGGATGTTATGGTTTTTGCTAGCTTGGCCCATACCATAGGCATAATAACAGAAAATCAAATTGGAAATAACAAAACAAAAGGGATGATCTCATTAATATCACCATTGAAGCTCAATTAAAAAATCTAATTGTACAAAATAATGAATGAATTTCTATTTCTAACACATAATGTCGATTGAAAACAATGTCTAATCACCATAATACAAAAATACATTATGCTGTCATCAGCTACTTACGTAGTGATTGACAGTCATTGATTGATATGAATCAATCTTACAATTATAATCATTCAACGACCATTGTTGCTAGCAAAACTCTACCGAAAGATTCTACTACTGCAAAAGCTTTGACGTGTGTCATGTGGAGTTCCACCTGATCTCAATGTGTAAAACTCCATTTTTCGAATTTATCAAATTGTACTTCCCTCTAATGCGTCCGTTGTGTACCACGTCACTAAAACTGATCTCAATGTACCCCAACGATTCCTAAATAAGTAGTAGGGTTTAGAGAGTTTTAAATCAACCGAAAACAAAAATACAAACGAACAACCTAAAATGATGAGGAGCTTACATATCGACGGAAACCAAATCTTCTCTTACTCTTTACTTCAATATGGATCTTATCCTTTAAAGAAGCCTCTTCTAGCACAAACTGAAATTCTTCATTCCAACTTGGACGCTGGGTTTTCCTCAGCATCTACACAAAATTACATGCATTAAAATAATAGTCGAACATATGTTATGTTGTCTAACTATTCATTTGAATATACGGTTCAAATTGACACTATGGTAAGAAAACATTTCACTTTAACTATGATTGGATTGCATAAATCACACCTTGGTTATCTTCGTTTCTGATCCAAAGCTGACCAAACAATAAGGGTTAGGGTTGGTGTGGTTCTTGCCTCCAACACCTTCAGCTCCTTGGACTGTAACCGAAAGCAAACCAGCTGCTTCTAGCGATGAAAGGCAGGAAAAGTCTATGGATGCCTTTCGGCTCCTTCCAATGTTTTCTCCTGCCACATTTGCATCCAGAGGTCCACTGTATTTCGCATTATCATCTATAAAAGGATTGTATGTCAATTCCACCACCAGTTGGCCTCTCCCTTTCTTGTTTTGAGGATCATAAGGGTTTGTGTTCTTCACCAAATCAAGGGTTAATTCTTTTTTCTCAAGTGGGGCAAGCACCTTCAGTGGAACAATTTGCATCCCCAAAAAGTCATGTGTCCCAATCTGTATGAAATCAACATCCGTAACTTACAATCACGCCTCGTCTTATCAAATTACTGACACGTTTGTTATGTTGTCACACTGTTAATTACGATCATATCCCGATTGGACATCGATTCGATATCTCATTATTAGTGGTACCTAAAAACATGCACCATTTAATTTTGACAAACCTGTTCCCAGTCGTAAAGATGAAACTGAAGAACTTGGGACTGGGGATCTTTGACTGTAAGCTTGAAATTCTCATTCCACTCAGGGTTGAGGTTCCTCATCTTAATGGTAGTTTTCTTTGATGGAAGCCTCTCCCCACTTAGCTTGATCTTAACATAAGGATCAGATGTTCCTATAATGTCCATCTTCAAGAGTTTAAGTGCCCTTACAACCTTCACATGTAAAATGCCTACAGGCTTCTTTATAGCCCCTGATCTGAGCCACAAAATAACAAAGACCTAAATCATTGAATTGCAATGTAAAACTCCATGGCATAAAAGTTGCTGTGTCATTTAAACTTACAGGGAACCATCAAGAATGGGTATTTCCAAAGTTTGGGGCCATAAATAAAGGCTAGCAACTTGTCTTCTTATAAATTCCTGCAACCACAGAAATAATCATATAATGTGCAAGCAGGCATAGCCAAGTTGTCTGGAACGGATGTGCTCCTTATTATGCACCCGAGTTCGAATCCCACTCTCCATAGTTTAGATTAGATTAAAATAGAATATCGTATATATCAAAAATATAATAATCATATATAAATGCAGAATGAAGTTTGCTGAAACTTATGCAGGTTTCAAACATTTTCATAAATTCAGTAAGTGGCAGAGCGATTGGGCTCAGCTACCCAAATAGGGTCTGCTAAAAAAATCACAGTAAGTCCTCCCCACTCCAGCCCACAATGAATATCAGTCCTTATTATGATTGGTTCAGAATATTAATCATTATTAATTTGCTTGTTAAACCTCTTCAAGCATTGAAGGGTTATGACCACCTAACATCATCATCAAGTGTTAGGGATGAGAAATTGAAAACGACCACACAGAAAGTCAACTAAAAAAAAATGTATAAAATAAAAAAAAAGGGTTCATGCTTGTTTCAATTCTTAGAGTTGCTTTAGAACTCATAGTACTTTGAAACGTGTACTTTAATTTTATATATTCTATGATTATGATCATGTTGGCTGTTTCCCATTCACTCAAAAAGTCCACATTGTTTAGCTGAAGATAAGTTAAATAATTCAAAATTGATGTGAGAGAGAGAGAGAGAGAGAGAGACCTGAACAAACTGATACAAACCAGGGATTGCCATGACATCCCCTCCCTGTATTTTGAGTCCAAAATCCACATGTGGCTGCATGTATATAAGTTAACATATCTGCCACCATAAGATAAGAGCATGGCATTTACATGAAGATTTAAAGAAACAAGTTTCTCAAAATCTTGTGTCAGTTTACCTTATCTATCAAAGTCGCTGTTATGTTTGCAAAGCATGGGAATGATGGCACAAGAGGCCTTAAAATGATCCTTGGTGCAGCAAATATTTGGACATCTACCAGCTGAGAACCAAATTGAACAATTTCGTTGTCAATCAACAGAAAGTCATCAGAATTAACAATTATAGCCAGTTGACTTAAGTGAGAGTCTAAGGAAAGAGAGAGAGAGGGGATCATTAAGGTTAAGATGAAGAGAAGCTGTGACAGGATGCTATTGAAGCCAAATGGTGTAAGTATTTTCCAAACACATTTTCAAACTAAGGTGAAAATAAGTATGTCTCTTGGTGATTGCACGTAAACAGAGTTTATCCGACGAGGGTGTGAATTGTTGGGATTTTGTCTTATTATCAAATATATGTATGTGTGCGTACGTGCACGGGCGCAAATGGTTCTGCAATGAATTCTAACCTGCGCTGAAATTCGAAAAGACAATAGTTTCAACACCACAGTTATGTGGGGATTTCCGGCCCATCTAATTGCAGGCTCAAACACCAGCTCATTTTCATTGCTTTCATGAACTCTCATACCTGCAAAAGCTTTGGTAAATTAGTAAGATCTCTTAACAGACAAATAAGCACAGAAAGAAATGAACACAAACTTAAATTAATGTTCCTAGTATTTAAGAATTTTATGCAGCACAACAACTGCTGCAGCCTATCAACATTGCCTACACAATATAACTTGCCATAAACTGTAGGAGGAAGGCTTCCAAGAGTCAGGGTCTCGAATTCGATTGATTTTATCTGATACTGCCCAATGTACTCTGCAAATATAGGCTTCGCCGTGCTTCGTATGATACCGCAGATTGCCTATAAAATCAAAGAACACAACAAGTGATGACAGATGAAGAACACTAACTATATAGTTAAGCTTGGTCATTGGTCACAATGGTAAGCTTCAAATCACCTTATCAAGGTAAGGCCACATATCATATAAAGCCTTGTTGAACCAGTCAATCTGCACACACAAAACGACACATCAAAATAATTTGGACTGGAAATTAAATTTTACAGTAAAATGTAAATAGTAAAAAAAAACCCCAAGTTAAACTCTTACTCTTTCATAATCAGGATGTTTTACCCATGGAGGAATCTCATGCAAGAGATCAATCAGGGAACCTGTGTCAATCTCATTAAGTGGTTTAATTATTGGATCCTGCATAATTAGATGCAGAAAAAAAATATTTAATCACTTCCATAATCAGCATTGACCATAAACTTCAAATTTAAATCATGTGTGCAAATTGTGTAGGGGAAATTAAATCGTAAAAAAAATATTTAAAAAAAAGGCATAAGAATTATACATAAAATATAAAAACAAAAAGGCACTGAATTAATCTGTTTTTGAAATCACCTTCACATCATCTGGCTCTGAGTATATGAATATGAAAAATCCCAGTAGAAGACCGATCGGAATCCCAATTCCAAATCCAATGATTTCGAATAAAAAACTGAAAATTCTCATGTTTTTTTTTCCTGCCCCAACTAAAAATGTAAACGAACAAAAGGAAATTTTTATTTATTTATTATTTTATAAAAAGGGCAGTGAAAAGATGCAAGAAAAAGAAATCGGAAACGTAAAGGGGTGAAGCTGATGCAGAAACTGCCAAAATAGAGTGTCGTTGTACAATCCACGCGGCACAAAACGAAGAGGGTTTACTTTATAATTACGGCTTGTATGAGGAATATTGGTCCACGCTCCACGTGTGCGGTGATGAATGAATGTGATTAGGAAGTTAATAATCTCTCCTCCTTTTGCCTTTTTTAGGGTTTGTCCAGAAAAGGAAGGTTCTGCTGCTCATCAATATGAGTCGTCGATTTCAACACTACTAAAGTCTAAAGCCCCAACAAAAATAAATTAAAATTA